AACAAAGTTAACTTCTGCCTCTGACACCGAGATGTACTCGGTATCCAGTGCATCCAGTATCCAGATGTACCCAGTGACCAACAAAATCCAAATCAGACACTCTATTAACGAGGACTGTACCATTCCCCCAAACTGAGGTTAGTTTAGACTGGAAAACGTCCTTCAAACAAAACTGCCATTTCCAAATGCTCTCCGCTCAGCTAAGCCCAGGATCTCTCTTGGAAGTTGAATTCACGCCACTCCAAAAAGCAACAGGCAGGAGAGGCTCTGAAGGATCCAGACAAATAACTGCGTTCAACACTGGAAAAACATCTAACCAGCCAGGGAAAGCAAACAGCCAGAGTCATTCATATACTGGATCTATTGCATAACTGCTTCTAATGCTGATTTGCCCAGCTAATGGGCTGTACTTACAAATAGGCTGATACGAATACATTTGTATGCACTACATAGAGGGCTCTACTTAAAAAAAAGATGCACCTGCGTCAGAGCTGAAGCAGCTTGGGTGCACTGTACGAGCAGGTGCCTGCACGCTCGCGGTTCCTGAACCCATGGGCCCGTAGCGCAGAGACACTACTGCAAGCATCAACAGGACTTTGGCAACACACGGCTGGGCCGAGAGCGTTGCTCTCCGAGCAGGTAATTGCGTTCCCAACAATCGCACTGTACATAAAGGTTCAGAACGAGCAATTAATTACAAGTAATTTTAAAACACTTACTGAAACTCTATTCTCTAGTGCCTATAAACCCAGACACTAATGCAGAAGAGGATTTTTTTTAAACTTTTAATTTCTTTGAATCAATAGAAGAATAAGTTTTATCATAATGAGGACATGTAATTAAGGTATATGGAGCATGCAAAGTAAATATCCATTCATTTAAGAGTTAATATAGTGAGGCCCCCACTTATTCTGTGGCATTTCTTCTTTCAGAGGCAGCTGTCGCACAATTAACAAATAAAATTAGCTTTAAAATCCTCTTTTGGCAAGCTGGAGAGCTAATTGCACTGCTACCAGATGGGCTAAATCCAGAATACTATTCTGAAATAATTTAGTTTTAAAAATTACTCTTAATCACGCCTCAAAACTATCCGACGTTATACTCCCTTCCACACGTCATTCTCAAACTGAGGAGATATTAAAGACTTAACTGATAATATACTGCATATGATAATACACTATATATACTGTGGCATATCAGTGCTACATCTATAGCATATTACATATACATACTGTTGACGCTGCTGTATGGGTGAGATTAGCAGCAGTTCTGGTACTTAAAATGGCAACACTCCGTTAGAGCAATAAACCTGTGTTTTTACACTCCCAGTGCCATCTAGTGGCTACACAGCCACACGTAGTCCACCAAGTCAGGAACCACTCAGCGTCCCGAAACGCGTTCAGTGTCCTGAAAGCGTAACTGTTCTGAATATACAGTCCATGCTAATCACTAAAATTTGCATAGAAGGGGGAAAAAAAAAAAAGCATCCTTGCTTCTCTTTCCTACCACTCTCACTGCCTTACCGAACTCCCTCAGCGTAGCAGAAGCGCTCTTATCTCTGTTACGTATTAAAGCAAACAGCTACGTATTTCTCCTGTATTGACACGCAGAAGATGTTGACGGTAGAGTTTTATTACATTTTATTCCGTAACATCTTCTAATTATTCAATACAATCTATTTTGTCTGTCTTCCCCAACAAAGTTGTATGAAGCCTTGCCTCTTGACTTAAGTCATTGATGGAACTGGGTTATTCTCCGTCTCTCTATACCAGCACTCCAGATAAAATGTGAGTAACCAAAAAAATGTCATTACAGAGAGAATCACCATTTTAAATTGTAAAGGCAGGACTGCCTGAGAAGTCTGAAACCCATGACAGCCTTAGCAATTTAGGTAGGTCGTCAGACGAATAGGGCCAGAACTCTTAAGGGCTGGGGTGGGAGGGACCACACCACCACACTGTAGAAATAAAATTGCAAAGAGAACCAAGCCTCCACAGCTCTGAAGTTAGCTAAGACAGACGTTACCTTAATGAAATCTTCTTTCCAAAAGTACAGGAGCATCGTTGATGCATCTAACACAAATTTTCAAACAAGTCATAAGCCAAGAGCAGCCATCAGCCTAGGAAGCTTAATTACCTTCAGAGCATAACAAGTCTAGCGCAGAAAATGAACGCTACCCCGGGAGCCTTAAAGACTTAAATGCTTAAAGTCTCACTACATTGTTAAGTCTCACTACATTTTGGCTTTTTTGAAAGACAAAATATTCGCAATTTGTTTTTATCGGCTCAAGAACACTCCAGGATGCAGATCAGAACTGAGACAAGGGATGCTATCTGCCTATCAACTGACAGTGGTGTTAGCCACATGCTTGCAACCAGTAAACTCTTTTCTAAAGTCTTAGAACAGAAGATTACAATATACAACCTCTTCTCCACTGTAAAGGGTTGGAATGAACCAAAAATAGAGGCTCATTAAGTATAAACTTAAGTTTGGTCTAGAAGATGATGGACTCTTTGAGGACGCCTTTTTGTTAGAAAGGGTGAAGAGTCCACAATAACACCTTCACTAACACTATTAAACTAAGTTTCTTTTCTTAGGTGATGCTCCTTCACTTAATGTTTTGGTGACTGTTCACCTATTGCTTCTCCTAGGCAGCCACTGAAAATTATATTGAGAACTAAGCCATTAGAGAGGTTATATTTTATATCTACATTAATTTAATGTCAGGTCAGGAAATGGCATAAATATATCCACTAGATTCACATACTTCACAGGAAAAACTTGAATAAAGTTTCATAACATTTCATTTGTTTCCTATCAAAATAATTTGGAACTATTTAAACATCTGAATTTTTAAATCCAGAGTAAAAGAAAGGTCCGTTCATTCTACCTTCTTTTACAAAAAAAGAGTTATGCTGTCTTCTAAGGCTTCTTTATGTGACAAAATCATCCTCAGTAGGCTATGGTATAGAATGACAACACTCTTGCTAATCTGCATCAAACCAGTGTACAACAAAGTAGCATAACCCACTTCCAAATGCAGTTTAGGAACGGTGAACAACATTTCTTATTTACTAGATTTTTGATGCAACATGCATAAAAATTAAGAATAAGAACTGTAGGATGAACCCTCTACAGTGATCCAAAGAGGATGCCTAGATATATGGTATCTTTAATTAGAGGAAGTCTTAAGCTGGCTCCTACTAGTTGATAGCCTAAGAAAATTTGAAAAAAAGCAGAGCAAGATGAAAATTTGTTATTTAAACCGTTTCCTGCTTGCTGACTGAAATCACGATTAACTGCAGCAAATCTGATTGCAGTTGCTTTGCTTTCTCTTCCTCTCTCTGCGCCCCTGCTGAGCCAGTGATCCCACCCTGCTGAATTCTCACTCCCACCCTGGGCTGACAGAGTGCCCCAACTGAGTTTCTGAGCGTGACTCCACCCCAGGCATCCCTCCAGGCTGGCTTGCCTCTCCTGTAACACGGGGCTCCTCGGCCCAGGACAGATGATTTTGGCTGATTTGCCCTGCCACCCAGCCCATGTCTCTTGCTCTCCTTAAGCTTTTTACAATGTAGTCTCTGCAAGCCAGAAAGATCTGTAGACTGTCAGTCCACCACTGCCTATGCACTATGCAATGTTACTTGCAAAATGTTTAGACACTGTGGACTTTAACTCCATTGATTTTCCATTTTTAATCACTCAGATGGACAGCACTGTTTTGGTCTAAAAGAGTATGCATGCCTAAACTTAACATGTTTCTGCTTAGTAATATTTAAGACTTTTCCTCCACTGTGTCTAATTTAACACTTGCATGGCAAGCACACAGAATTAGGAATTATTGAATCATGGCGATGTATAATAGTCATCAGAAAAGGGCAAGCAAGAGTCTGTCTGTGCAGTTATACACTTTAACCTTTGCCCCGAAAATGCCAGAAATGCACTGTTTGGTTTACAACCATAAGATTTGCTAACAAATATCTAACCCTTTTCCTTTGACAGGAATCCCATCTTTCCATTTTACACTGTGGAAGACAATTTTTATTTTTATAGTGAGCATTTGTAAAATTCCTACAGCTAAAATTTTCAGTCAACTTTTTCTTAAATCAGAATGAAGCTGAGATTTCTTTCTCCTGTACTTTCTGCCTCCAAAGACTTTATCTCTAGTGTAGCTTCTTTCCTAAAGTACAATGCTACTGTGAATGCAGCCTATAGAGATGTCATTAGGTCTAATAGACTTTGCTCTACTGCATGGAAAAACACAAGTTTCTTGTTTCCTGTAGTGCTTTCTGTGTTATTGTTAATGATTAAAGCAGTCCTGAAAGTAAACATCTATAATTGTCCCAAATACAAGATGACAGTCGTTGCATAAACTGGTTTTAATTATTTTTGTGGCCATGAAGCCTTTTCTTAAATCCAGGACAGTGGTTTCATAAACAAGGAACTAATCCAATGGCCAAAAGCAAAACACACCCAAACATTTCCCTGACTTTCCCAGCTAACAAAGTTGAAATAAACAACATAATCTCTATGTTGTTCTGAATTTCTATTATTTTACCTTTGCAGCCAAACATTTTTCCTTGTTATTATTTTTAAAGCAAAATGAATGCAAACTGACCTTTACAATAGCTGCCTATTTAGAGGTTTCGGCTAGAAAAAAAGATCATTTTAAGTTACCAAAAGAAAGAATATGCTGAAAAATTCTTAATGTAAACATTTGAGCTGCACATATTACATGTTTTATTTAATACATACAGAACTTGACTCACTGTTTCAAAGTAAGGATTAACAGCATGCTTCTATCCACAGCTCAACATAAACATAGGATACAAAACAAGGTTACACAGCATAGAAGAAAAACAGCATTCAGTAGAGCACAGATGCATTACACTAAGTAGTTTTTTCTCAATTCAGAAGTACTTAATATTTAGGTCTTACAGAAAACTAAATGCAAGAATTATAATACTCAGTTCAGAAAGAACACAGGGTGAAAGTTTCCTTACCAAATAGAGCAGAAAGGTGTGAAGACCTGTTCCAAGTCCGACAGAGGACAGAATGCCCAATCCTACCCAGTAGGCACACCAGAAGAACTTTTTCTCCATATATCGCACATACTGAAAAAGAAAGTTATAAAAGGGAGGGGGGAAAAAAAAAAAAACAAGAATGATTAAAGCTACAAACTAATCCAGATAGTTGCCTGGATTATAATAGCTGAAGCAGAATCCTAGATAGTTCTACTTGCAATTTATTACAATTACAGTACAAACATACAGAAAATAGTGAGAGCGCTTTCAAAACAAAAGCCCACAAGCCTTAGAATCCGCAAGTTTCCAAGGAAATGGATCAAAAATCTGGGATCAATAGCAGGGGGTTAAAAATCTAGAGCAGGCTTATCAGGTCTGAACAGTGAGCAGCAAGCTCCCGACAGTGTCTCCTGGAGCCCCAGCAGCGAGCAGACAGAGCTCAGGGAATTGCTTGAGCAGATTAGATAAGAGGAATACAATTAGCTGCACTCTCAGTTATGCTGTTGAGTTTTTTTTTTTTTTTTTTCTTTTAAATCTTGGACCACGTTAGGTACTTCTAAGAAAAGATTAAAATGTTGGTTGTGCGTGGCTATAGGCTTGGCGCGCATAAGTGAGCGGATGTGCAAACGTCACAGCAAGTGCTGGAGGTGAACAGGCTACAGCAAGTGCTGGAGAATCAGGAAACCACATCTCCCTTCTAGCTGCCAGGAGTTCATCCTCTAATGAGGATGAACGAGACAATCAACTTGTCAGCTGCCATTTTATACCATCCATGCACCAACAGCATCAAGGTGAAGTTTCTCAGGCTGAATCAGGCTTCAACCTGCCAGGGCGTCAAAAGGTCCTGAAAATGGATAGCAAAAACAGCAAACATGCTTAGCTGTTTGAGTGGGGTTTTGGAACAGAGCAGCTGGTATTCAAGTGTAAGCTGATGGCACAAAGAGATAGATAGAGGGGGCTCGCAGGACACATAGGAAAGGAGCTCTGCAGGAAGAGGATATAAACCCTCAAGGAACGGGCAGATACCTGCTGGAGCACACAACCGGCTGCAACAGACCACAGCGCTTCAACACCCGGCTGAGCACTGCAGGGCGCACTCCCCTCGCCTGCCTCCGGCTCTGGGTTTGCTCCCAGGAGGCCCAGGGGAACCTCTTCAGAAGCGTTGCTCTGCCAAGCCTGGGCACGGGGCAGCCCAAGCCCAGCAGGCTCAGGGGCTGGGTGCCTCAACACCAGCTTGTAAGAGCCATCTAGCGGCAGATGTGAATGCATCAAGCTCCTGCCTTTATCCTGGCAAAGCCACCAACTCATACCAACACAAGGGCAGTTTTTATGAAGCAGGTTATTAGTCCAGGAGGAACAGGAGTGGACCACCAGTTTCCCATCTACCAACTTGCTGTTCATGTAACTGCTTAGGTCTCAAGTTGATGACTGAGCGAGCAAGGATCTGATGAGCTGAAGCAACTCCTTTTGCTGCATTTCAAGACCTGCCCTGGGAAGCCAGGACCCTTGCTCAAGAAGCTGCATGACCATTAGGCAAACGGTGACGTACCGTAACAGAAGGGATCTCTGAAACTGGGAAGCTGCTGATTATGGATTCAGAACAGTAAGATGATGTACTTGTACAAAAGACGTGCTCTGCCAGGTTAACATAGGCATCCCGCCTTGGGGAAAATTTGAAACTCAAGGAGAAACGGGGAGGGGAAAGGGAAGCGTAGACAATACCATCACCTTGTGTTCTGGCAAGGGCCTACACTTTTCAAGTGATGCAAAAGCATCAGTCTTTACATAATCCAAAACACAAAAAAAACTTTTAAAACAACCATTTGAAGACAACAGAGAGGAAAAGAACCATGCCAGAAGCAGGATTTGAACCCAGGAAAATTTTTATGTCTAAACAGATGCCCATCCCAGATGGTCAGGAGAGCCTTCCATAGTAGAAGGAACACTTCTTGGAAACCGTGAAGTTCTCTCATGACCCAATTTAACCCTATTTTATCTGAAGAGCTCACATTACTATTAAACCTTGTTAACAACAGATGTGGAGAGCTGCAACGCTGGAGACATACTTATTCAGGAAAGGATGGGAAGTGAAACACCTACAGATGCAACAGAACGGATCAAACCATACACCCAGCTTCATCCATCTCTAAAATGCAACTCATCCACATGCAAGAGAGGGGAATCATAACACGAAAAACAAATATCCATAGCAAGCAGGAGCTCAAAGAAACACTACAGTTTCCGTAGGACCCCATTCAATCCCCAGTACATCTACTTTAACACAGGGACAAGAAGTACTAGTTACTAAGGAAAGTAACTTGAAAACTTCATACCTGTTGATGTGTTCCTTCAACATAATACGTAGCTGTAAGTACTGCAAGCATCAGTAAAAAAGACACCAAGATACTTCGCCGATGCCACAATCTTAAAAAACAAATGGCAGTTAGGGTTCTTCATATTTTAACATGCATTTCAAAGCCACTTAGTTATCCCCATAGACTGGGTCTGTGTGGATACACTCAGTGGTGACAACAGCAGCTGTGGAGTTAGCTACTATAAAAGCATAAGCCTCCCAGTAAAAAAAAAATCTAGGGAGCCTTTCTTCTTTACAGAAACATCTGTACTTCATTCTCAGGTGAAATCAAAGTTCAGCCATGCATCCCCCCCCCAAAAAAAAACAATCAAACAAAGCAACTGTGTTGGAAAACAAATACAATCTAAAAGCAAGCAATCAGCATTCTGCAGCCAAGACAGTTTCAAATACAGAGCCATCAATGACATTCATGGTTAATGCAAAGTACAAAGCAGTCACCGGGCAAAGGATGAGCTGTGGGCAGAATACAGAAGTGCTGATTTTAAACTGTGCCTGCATGGGTAGGGCCTCTGTGACAGTAAGAACAAATCTTAACACTATTTTGGTTCTCTTGATCTGTTGAAATTAGTATTTCTTCTAACAGCTCAAATGTACTTGACAAACTGATAAATGCATTTTAGCTAATTATGAAGTGCTTGGAAACTACTACAGTAAGGAGAGGAAAGTGTTTTCCTGTGTAATTTGAGATCCACTTACTTTTGCACCTGTCTAGGTTTACAAGGTTAAAATATTGCATAATGTGTGTGTAGCTGTACACAGTTGATAATAAAATAAATGCATTTTCTCATTTTCTGGAAAACGCTATTATACTGTTATCTAATGCTGTTAAGAGTGTTAGCATCATTTCAAAAAGCCAGACATGAAATATCGAACTATGAACTTCACTTTAATCTATTTAAAAAGACGGAAATAAATAGAAAAAGATAGAAATAAGGGAAATAAAACACACAGGAAAACATTCACAAATGTATCAATTAAGCAGGCTGAAAAAAGTCACTCTAACCTTCCTTTAACTATAAAAACATCTGTACTGCTTATACCACTATGATAAGAATTGGATTTTCAAGTGATTATCACCATTTAAAGTACAATGTAATGAAGTGAAAAACAGGAGATCATTATGAGTCAATCTGAGGTCTCATCTTAATAGCTGTTACTATAGGGTCAGTGTTATCTTCTGTAAATACACTGTCATGCTAGTACTGCACAACATAGATGTGCTGCACAATACAGATAGCACTTGCATCCTGTAACAGAAAATAACGTCTAGAAAGCCAGGCAACAGTCAACTTAAAATAACACCTTAAATGTTGTTTCTACTGTATATTTTAGTAAATGCTTGGAGGTTTTCAGAAAACTAATAATCAGATATGGCTAACATAAAACCTAAGAAAGCAGTCCTATAAGAAACAATTTCCAATGACAGTTGAAAGAACTTAGGTAGTAAAATAACTAGTGTTTGGGTTTAAGGTTTTTTGGGGGAGGGGGACTAGCAGGGGCAGAGGGCAGTCTTAAGACTGCACTACGTAAGCCTGGTATTTTTCATACAAATCATTTCAGAAAAAAAAATCTATTTTTCAGTTTTGATTTTTTTTTTCCCCCCCACTGGATCTTGTGTGTTAGCACCTCAAATCCAGCCCAGGGGGGTCAAGGAACACAGCCCACTATCATCACTCTCAGCTCACTCTGCAAGGGTCCAGCTGCTGGAATTGCCTGTGATATTAGATCCTACCTTCTAACTGTGAAGATGATTGTAAGCTCACTCCCAACTGTGAAAGTTTCCTGTTACTGACACAAGCACTAGGATGGCTCCTACTCTTGGCTTTTTCACTTGTCAATTTAATTTTACTTATGTTATACTTTGGCACTCCAAACCCTCCCAAGCCTAGTGCATTAAGAAATAGCTATGCAATTCAGCATTAGTAGGGGATGTTAGGAAATTTGTAAGTAGCAGTCCCAACTGGAATAAAAGCCAATTTTATCCAGTTTGTAAATAATGCTTAGGGAAAGTGTTTTAATACATTATTTTCCACTGTGAAAGGGACCACATAGCTTAGAAGCAAAGTCCTCTCTGCAGTTTCATAAACATGACTAAGTTCCACGTAATCCTGAACTCTGCCCTGAGTTACTTGAAAATCATTAAGTGACACTAACGCATACATTAAAAGATCAGTACTTAACACTGAAGTAGTAAGAACAGTATCTCTTGCCTTCAGGATCCCTAAACACTGTCCCATTCTTTCAAATTGGAATATTCAACTCTTCAGAATGGAAGTTTGCAATTCTTTTCCATCAAGACCATTCTGTATTTAATACTTGTGTAATTTAGGCAGAAGGTCTGGGTACGCAGCTGGAAGTGTAGTATGTTCCAGTAGCCACCTTTAAGGTACAAAAAGAATATGTTTTCTGGTAGAAGAATTTTAAAGTTGTCAATCATCAGGGAAAGTGAGATGTCAAAATGATCTACTGAATCAGAGCATGGGTTTTTTCCCTAGAATGCTTAGAAGAAATTAAAGAAATGATCTTTACTTTATGGTCCATTCCTTCAAGTTTATTAGGGTTTCCAGGAAAAAATACTGCAAGGTAACAAGCGGTTGCCTCCAGAGGACAATATTCAACCTCTCTTCTCGGTCCCTTCGCTTCCGTTCACTCAACAAAGAAGAATCTGCAAACGAAACGCAACAGAAATGTAAAAGCACAGGCTGACTGTTCAGATTCCCACCTACTCCAAAAATACAGCAACATTTGCTTGCTTTGTTAGAAAGTTTATGTGAGCTCCCAGTTATCTTTTCTGCCCCTCACAAAGCATTTCCTCCAAGAGCATAAGAAATAAGAGGTGACCCCCAGCAAAGGGGGGGGACAGTATCTTTTTCTCTTCCATGTAGCTTACAACCATTCAAGAATCTAATTGGCCCAGGGTGCAAGAAGTCTAGCAATGTATTAGTTTTTATGCAATCAGCTAATGTACTAGGTCAAGTGCATCTCTATTACCCACTGCAGAGACCACATTTTATTTTGAACTTCTGAATTTGGTCCTCTTCCAAAACTATTCTTAGACTTCTCCAATCGAACTAGATTGAATTACACGTGCTCTTTATACACTTCAGTCGCCATGTAACTGGATAATAGTATCTATCCTACTGGTCAGGATCCTCAGGCTACGTTAAGCCTTGTCACTCTGTTCAGTTCCTCCAAAATGAGGCCACCAGACAGGAAGTGCTCCCACGAGAAGGGCCTGCTTTTATACCACAGTCCTTCGCTGGACTGACACTATACATTCGGTTACTTTTAACTGCCACAATGTGGTTATATGAATAAAATTTCAGTGTCCAACATGACTGTAACACCAATAACCGTATGCTACAATACAAGTCCAGATGAAAGGTTTTTCTAATAAAAATTTGTTATTTTGTGGTCACAATGAGGTCAAAATGAACAAAGTCCCTAGGCATTTTTGGATGAGAAAGGCTTGTTGAAAGGTTACCAGTCTAATAAATGGTGGTAATTTTTATACTTAAAAAAATTTCTGAAATAAGAGAAAAGGATCATGAAAGAGTAAAAAAAATAAAATAAAAAAATGAAACTCTTGTATTCAAACACACCAAACCTGTTTATTTCTTTCTACGTGTAAAGTCAAAATATATGCAATTCTGTTTTGTATACATTTAAAGCATTGCATTAATATTCATAAATCTTAAATTCATATGAAGCTGTTGCATTTAAAAATATGACTCTAATCCAAATCCCTATAGTATTGTAAACCAGGCGGTATGACTTCAGTCTTTTATTCCAGTAATTGAAACATGCTGCCTTATCAGATGCTAGTATTTACAAAGAAATTGCATACCTCATTAGTCACATGGCCCATTTGATTTCATATTCTTTAGCTGGAAGCATCAGTTACTTTGGATGAACTCACAAAAATCCTACAGTGGCCAGAACTAGATAATACCCATATTTCCTCAGAGCCACAAACTGATTTAAGACTCTAAGTAGAAGGCTCTGATTTGTTCCATACACACACATATCCAGGTCCTCTTTGATTCTTGCCGCACTCTTGGCTTCAAAAATTCCTGTTCTCTACATTTTCTCTTAATGCGTCTAATTGAAATGCTTCAACATTATTAAAAATATACAAAGTCATAAAACCCAAAGATCACAAGAGACAGTGGTGTAAGACAGCAAACACCCTGAAAAAACAGTTACAAAACTTAAATATGGAATCGACACATTCAAAGGTGATAGGAAACAAAGATGTATCATTTTTACACTATTACCACACAGTGCAGATATTCAGTGATACAAGGCACTTCATAAAATGTTCTCAGGTTATTTTTCATGGGCCTTAAGCATTAATCTTAGCCTACTTCAGACATACCAGTAAGAAAAGCAGATGTGAGGCGGAAGATGTAGTTAATTGTTCCGTTAGTAATTTATCCTTGAAAATGATGAATTATAGTGAAGCTAAATGTCAACATAAAAGCTAGAAATTGGGAAACTAAAATTGGATTTCTCCCAGTGTAAGTTTATTACCAAGTACTAGCTCTTCAGTGCCAAAGGGTGGGGCTGTATAGCCTGACTTCTAAAGCCACATATTTGCCAACCGAGTTTAGCTTTTTAGCTCACAGTTCTGTTGCAGCCCCTATTGGTACCCCCAGCCAGCTTTATAGGGTTCACATGCATAAGAACTGCGGAATAAGAACTCTGAAGGGAGAAGAGAGTTCAAGAGAAACTTAACGGAAATACACAGCTTAAACTATTCCATGATACATAAACTCTATTGACTTCAGATTTATAGATGATTAAAGTTTAAGATTGATACAGTTTCTCCCTTTACATTACTCAGGAATAAGCTGCACCAAGAGAAAAATCTTTTTTGAGTATTGTGCTGGCCACTGTACACACCAAGTTAGCTAGCTGAGAACACTATGTGATTTCCCACCTACCTGTGAAGTTTCCATTGTGCTGTTCTTTGATCATTCCTATGCGTCTCTGGTCACAGTCTGTTCCATTTTCTGCCATTTCATAGATCAATCGTAAAAGAATCTAACAGGAGAACAAAAACAAAAAGCATAACGTCTCCATCTCTGGTTATCAAGACTCCATTTACTCTACACTCCAAGGATACAGGCAAACATCCAGCAGCTCTCCAAATCCAAATCACAGTAATCCTGCATTACAGCATTAAAAAGGAGAAAGTGATTTAATTCCCACAATGACAGAGTTTAAAACATTCCCACCTACAAAACCCTAATTTTTTCACTTAAATGAAAAGACTCCCTCGCTTTTAACAACAGAGCAAAAGCTTGTTAAACAATCCCTCCTATTAATCAGCCCACTGTTTGGGCTGAAGAAGCAGTAGAGCTTCATACAGGCTTCAGTTCAATCCTGAAAGAGAATCTTAAGATTTGCTACTTCTGCCAGAATTTGTATAGTAGTCAGAAATTGTCCAAAACTGAAGCATAGCACAGGCAGCAGCTACAGATGCCCCTGCAGCTACCTGTTGCAGTATGTTCTCAACTGGCTCTGCAGTGAAAGATGCAAAGCCAAGTATGAAGATCAAATACAAGAGATCTACACTAACCCTAAAATTCTAACTGAAGCTATTCTCATACTAAAAAGCATCTATTCTGGCACCTAACCTCCAGATAGTGTGCAAGAAGATATCAAAAACCTCACAACTTAAAAAAAAATAAATAAATAAAACCCTCAGTATAGTAACTAAGACAGAATTGCATCTCATTTTGTTCAGTCTAACATCTCTAAACCAGAAAAGGAAAGCTTGTCAGTTGTCTGATGGAAAGCTATTTGAAAAGTATACATTCTCTCTGCTAGCTTCTCCGTACTGACATCTTTTCAGCCTTAAAAAGCCCAAGAACTGTAGTTCTCCTTTTTCAGGAGAGTAAAGGCAACAAAGTGGGAGGGCAGCTTAAAACAGAACGTTGCAAGACCGAGCCCCCCCCGCCCCCCCTTAAAAAGAAACCCTGAACAGTTGACAATTCTTATGCAATCAAACACAGAGAAAGTAGCCAGTCAGACTCCTTGCTTTAAAAGTCTCCTCTTGAATCAAAATAGTTTCTGGATTTTATTTTGGAAGAAGAGTCCCACAAAAATAAGACATCTTATTTGCCTTACATTTCTCGTTGTAAGCAAAATGTGATTTATAGTTTTTGTTAGGCTTCTTACGTTGGAAAGGAAAGTAGTGCAATATTAAAATGATAGGTTTATATAACCTATCCCATTCAGTTGGGGAAATTAAAGTTTTAAGGCAAAAACATTTCCCCTTTGCTTTATGTTATAAATACGGCTTAAGAGCCGAGCAGTAACTCACGCTTGGTAAACAGGAGTGAGATCTTCCCTTTGACTCAGGCCACAATCGCTTTGTCTTTTTTTTTTTTTTTTAAATCATTAGAAGATGTTGGGTACTGTATTTGTTTCATATTTACTGGGTTTCACAATTCAGTTTTAGACAGATGTTCTTCTAAACATAAAAAATTGTATGCAGAGAGAAGAAATGAACTCTAAGCAAAGGAAGTGAGAGACAAAAAACGCTGCAAGAAGCAACACTGCAGTGTAGGTACAGTCCTTGCGCATTACCTGTGATACAGATAAAATTGCTAGCTAGAACGTGATTATTAAAAGGGTTTTTACCTAAAACCCAATAGTCAAAAGGCATCAAGGTCTCAGGAAGGAGTCCTTCCTCCAATAGCTTTTTCCTGAAATTAAATGAACACAAATATAACTACAGCTAGTTAAACAAACTAGCAGAAACTAATCTCTTGCATGTTACAATTTTTGTTCAGTGAAACTGAATTTGTGGCCCCAAAAGACCAACACCAACAGGTAACCGTAAAACGGTCTTGCAGAAGTTTGCTTCTGAAAAATGCTGAAAGGCTCCATAATCAACCAAAGGATAACAGAGGACTGACCTGCTACAGTAGCAGCTCGGCAGCATCATTCTGCTCACCCGCTATCAAGGGCTTGATCCAAACTGCTGGTCATACACCAGAGGAGCTGTGAACCTCCTCCTCCTCTCAGATCAGTTTTATTTCAGCTTGCCACCCTAGAAGTCGGTGGAGTTACGCTAGAGCTTAGTTGAGGATAACAGGCCAGTTGCTACAGTGATACAAGGATCAGATGTTTAACCATCTCTTAATTTCATCTGGGCAGTAAGTCACTGAAGATGGTGCGGTATTTTGTTTCTAGTAACTGCACTTAGTGGTTATATATGATTTATATACATATCCACACATATGTGTGCATATACATACACAACATATATCTACAAACATATATAAAATTGCACACTCATATTTACATATGCAAAGCTCAAGTTGCAAAAGGAAATATTTAAATTGGATATCCACAGTGGGAAAGCCTGATGCTTACAGAAAGATCCCCTTTTCTTAGAAAGCAAAAGCCATCAGAGCTGTTCTGCGCATAGCCAAACTAAAAAAAAAGTCCTAGCTTAGGGAACTTCAGCCACATTTTATAGGCTTAAGTATTACAAACATCCATTTAAAAAAGCTTAGGTGGAAGCCACAGGTCCTGCATTTTTAAGTTCATCCTTTTGCAAATTCAGCCCTCAAAAGAGATGCGTCCAATGGTTTGGCCTTTGCATTCAGCTTAACTACATTTCAAGAAAGTAAATTTACTGCAACACAAACCGCTCTCCAGGTTTGATGCTAAAATCCAGGCTGTGAGCAACACTCCCTTCTACATGAACTGAACTCCACTTCAGTCCACTGATGATTTTTATGTACTAGTAAGATTATTTAGTCTCCAAGGATCCCAGGTGCATCGTTAAATATATATTACAGCTTCTGTAAGCCCCCCTAACTCAGCCAGTTTTACCCTGCCTGCTTGGAAAGGCACTAATCTGGGATTAGCTTTGCATAACGCTACCTCAAGTACACAAGCCAATGTTTACAGGAAATCAGATAAATAATCTCCTTGCACACTAGTGTGGGGTGAATACTTTTCAAGAAGGTCCCAAAGTTTATCCACACTGCAGAAAAGCTCTGCACACTCATATTTAAGAGCATGGTTGACATGGAGATTCAGGACTCGGAGGGCAAGTCTGAAAGGGCCGCAATTCAGAAATTGACTCCTTACTGGTTTCAGAAAGGACTTCTTTGTTTATCAAAGTCCGATTAGACTATAAGCATCTTAGTGTAAGAAATGGGAGGATGCGCATCCAACAAGCTTAGCTTTCTGCCCTGTTGACCTGTTTGAGGCCTATCAGAATCACCAGTCCTGTACCAACGTCTCCCTGCAGAGATTAATAAGTTACTGGAGCAGGAGACTGACCCAAAATGGACAGCTATCCTTGGTTAGCTGAATCCACTTTCTCAACTCTACTCAAAGTCTGAGAGAGGTCACCAGAGGAAACCGAATCCCAGTTGCTAAACAGACCCACACTTCTTACAAGCATGGAAAGAGACAGGCAGTCCATACCTAAAAAGAAATTTGCCCAACACAGCGTAGTTACCAGCAAACAAACTATCTACAATAAAAGAACGAGGAAAACAACTTTTGTTATTTTTCATATCAGAGTCGCTTAGATCACTCGTTAGAGCTGTGCTCACACAAGAACTTCTTTGTAAGGCTGAACAAACAGCTCACAAAACACTATTCAGATTAGCGCGATCCACAGCATTAAGTATAAAGAGACAATTATTGCTAGTCAAAATGTAAATCAGACAACAAAAAGGCCTATCATAACTGCGGCTGGCACCTCACAGTGTAAGTGAAACTATAACAAGCTATTAGAGCACCAGAACACAACAAAATTCAGCACTGCAATTACTGCAGTCTATAGTCAGGGAAGAGGATTAAGAGTCTTTCCTTTCTGAGGTTCTGGGCAAGCTGCTGATGCACCTGGTGTTGGCACTTACCTAAAAAGAACCAGCTTTCAGACAATGCAGTTGCGTGTTTGCACTCTTACCAAGGGAGCAGAGTGTGGGCACGTTTCACGCTAAGGATTTTTTGAGGAGTCTTTTCCATTGGGCTGGAAGCTGTTAAACTACTTTAAGGAACTCACTGCTTTCCCAGACATTGTTAGAATCGCTGATTCTCATCACTTCTTACCCCCAACAACCCCTGGAACCTAGACTCCCAGCTCTAAAAAAAAAAAAATCACACAGCTAGTTGAACCAAGAGCTGGGCAGACTTACAGCTTAGCCCATTTCGTTGGTGTTATCTCCCAGATGCCTTACCAACACAGCATTTTTGGTCTTTTGCCACTTCTCACGTTCTAACCCACATGCCCCAACCCTGTCCAGATCCTGCTGCTTCCTTCTCCTCAACTTTTCCGATAGCGCCATTCCTTCCTTTCCCTGTCCATCACTGTTCTTCGTTTACAATAAAGACGGCAAAAGAGTAAAAATCAGGCTTTCACAGGTGTATAAGTGACAGCACTAAACTAGAGAGCTTTACACATCTGTGATACGGTTTTGTTACGGATATCAAATACCCTACAGAGGCAACAATTTCCACAGGGAATGAGTTAACAGTTTCTTGGCAGAGTAAGAGTTTTGAGAGCACTTTCCTTCAAAAGTCAAAGATCGCCTGTACACGAACACGTTTAGGTAAAGGATAAGATCAGTCTTGAAGTGAAACATTACATACCCCGTCAGCTCCGTACAGCTATTTTTCGCTCTTCGCTACTTCTTCTGTATTTGAAGCCAATGGAACAGACAACTATATCCTCAGCTCTGTAGACATTCAAGACCAAAGTGACTGCTCTTCCAAACCTCCTGTCCCTATGGAGTAAGATAATACCATTCATCACATGACACAAAATTGACAAAAGTCCCTAACTTGAAGGTTAGTAACTTTCCTAAAAGCCACAGAAAATATAAAAAGTAACTGCTTGATTTTTTTTCCAGTTCTTTAACACTCATGGGAGGCATTCAATTAAAACAAATTAGGACACATCTGAAAGATGGTCAAAATCTCCACAGTTTTATCTATAATGGGTAACTTTGACACGAGCACATTTATTCCCATGCTAAAAATGTTTTTCTAACTAAAATAGTTTAATCCCTCAAAGGAAAGGGCAAGTAATTTAGTTAAAGACCACAGGCTTCATTTTGTGGGTTATGCCTCTGTACACCAGACCTATTTTCCAAATCCTAGCCAGATAGCTAGGCTATCAATAGCTTCAAAAAAAGTCATCTTACAATTTAGAGTTAAAAATCTCTGTTTTTCCAAAAAGACTTTGGACGCCCTTTAGGAAAGAATAATTTAATGTTGTTGTCACATTAGCTTCAGGGAAGTTGTGCATTTTTCTTTTGAGGTTATTAAAAATTCTAATCCTGCCATTAAAGCCATATATATCAAACCGTTCTCTCCAGTGGATTCTCTCTGGTGACACATGAACATTGATGGTTGGCCCTCCAGCACTAGAATCAGGTGTATGATAGGAGAGAGAGTCAGTACCTAACGTATGGATGAAAACGTACGGAAGATGATAGGGAAGACAAAATTCAGGGCGTGCAGGCCTTTGGAAGTTTCAGCAAGAGATCACCACAAAAGAAAAAGGTTTAACTAAAATACAGGAAATTAAAATAACTGGGAATATGAACACTGTGACACGCCACAATGCAGCTCACAGATCAGTTTTGCAACAGCCTGGGATGCAGATCACAGAACAAAACTGCTCCTCTGCTGACTGCGATAACACTCAGCAGGCTGCTAAGAAACCCACTCCGAGATTGCCCCAGAGGGTGACACATGCTTTTGAGAAGGTGACCTGAGGAGACGTCCTCAGTGTTACTTCTGTGCTGCTATGCTAACTTCAAAGCAACTATATCCAGACATATTTTAAATTAGACAGCATTACAACAAGCTCCTTCTGTACTTCACGCCCTCTCTCAAACAGGGATTCAGTGACAAGTACTTATACACAGCACTGATCAGTGCCACAATAAGGTACCTCATGGTGAAGACATGTCACATATGTCCAAAAAGCCCTCTCACCAAGACTGATGACTAGGAAACACCAATATGAGCAGAGAGAAGGGCTTTGGAGAGAGGTGCACCACAGCACAGGAAAAAAGAACACAACATTCAGGTGACTAAAGAGACGCGGTATCTTTCGCATCCCCAGTTTCAGACAGCTATACAGCAGTTCATGCACATGCTACCTGCCAAGATTAGTGTTTGGCCTAGAGCCCTCAGGCTGCATTATGCATGCAGAAGGTGGCAGTCAAGCTCACCACCATCAGCTTCCCGGCACTTCCAAAGGACACAGAGGCAAGAAACGCCACAGGAATTGTTGCAGGATGACAATACATACTGCCCAGAAAAAGCTAGGTAAAATCTAACTAGAAACAAGCCAAGAGTTAGCAAAAGTAAGAGTATAACCACAGCCTTAAGGATCCCCATCTTGGGCTCCTCCAGCAGCTGGCAGAAAACGCAGATTTGGCGAGAACTTAGGCTCTATCCTATCTTTCTAAATGGTGGCAGAAGGTTTCCCCTGAAAGAAGATGCTTGAGCCTGCTCAGTCGTTAAAGCCAGAGCGCTATTTCCATAAGATGAGCTACTTCTGAGGTACAGCGTAAATGAAAGGGAATGAACAGAAGCGCCAACAGACCCCACAGAAAACAGGAGCCGAAACATTCTCCTGCTGCCACTTGAGACTTTTACTCTCTTCCTCAGAGACGTTACCAGTCTCTAAGTTCAACCAATTCAGGTTACACTAAGAAGGCATGGAGCCACCTTAGCCGTTCTATGCAAATACTCTGTCCCTACGAAGGGGATCACACAGGCAAAGTTAGAGTCTCGCAGGTTGAAAGAATATTCTTTCAAGAAGTTGGAAATATGCTAAACAATTGCCCGCCTCACAAACAACATCTTATTGTCTTCTGGGTCCATCTAGTCAGTGCAATATCAAACCAGTAAGGTACTGCCCCAGGACTGCAATTCTGACCTGCTACAGCAATACAAAAAGCTAAGTGTTGCAAGAGCTTCAAGGCTGTGCCCTTTGTTCTGGCAGAAAAGCAAAGTCCAGGCAGCTAACATTTCTCCACTGGTAACAGAAGTTAAAGGTCTAACTTGCAGATAATAATTTGTTTTCTGTAGTAATTATACCAGAAAAAGACTGGCCCAGTCCTACTATACACCAGAAGCCTGTCAAGATGAGAACAAGAGGCCAATTCAGAAATCTTTGACTCCCAAATGACAGGAGAAAAAAGTGCACTTACATTCCTGGTGGAAAGAGAAGAAACTTATGAACCGTTAGTGACAGACAAGTTATTGAGGGTTTAAACAAAATCAAATGGCAGTGCTCTCCAAGAACGCTGACTATTCTGAAGTGGAAAACAACCCAAAACACATCTGTTGATTAGGAATAGGATACTAAGGTTCCACCACACACCAATATATTCGTTTAAAAAACAAAACAAAAAAAAAACAAAAAGAGCAGCTGACAATACATTTTTCCCCCGATAATCCGATAATCATTAAGAAACGAGAGCAGATCTTTAAATACACATTAATTACACAGAACATTCTAGTGAGAGGCATCCACAAGATGTAATCAGAAATAGTTATGATAGATTCAGAAGATATAGCCTACAACCACAGGGGAAAAAAAGCTTTAAAGTGGAAATAGTGCAATCATTTCAGCTTTAAGCCAATGCTTGCTTCCAGTATATTCACCTTTCTCAGTGCTGCCTCCCACTTAAAAGCTAGAAAGCCCTCTCCTAGCCCTTCCCACAAAAATTACAAGTACCATTGACTTCAGTTGCTAAGTAGGGCAAGAAGCTTAGCTCAAATTAATAAGTGGTGCTCATCTCTGGTTGCATAAATGGAAACACGTTTTTTCAAGTTCATCTAAAAACATGAGATGAAGCAATCATTGCAACTGTCACTTACGACTAGTAAGGAACAGAAGGGTTCACCCCCATGCTGCAGAAAAAGCGGACGGAAAGAAAGAGGAGTGACGTTACATAGCCCCGTAGCCCCTTTAAAAGGGTAAACTAACGCATTAAAAACTTTATATTTCCTATACTATAATAACATAAGATGCCACACAGCGGCAGAACCCCAGCAGGCTATTTGGCAAGAAGTGGAGTTAAACAACCTCAGGTGAGCAGAAGTCCTAACAGTAAAACAGGACCAAAAGCCACAGCTCAAACAAAATTTGTGTGCTTCAAGGTATAAGAGAGTAATGTCACACCCCCTCCCATCTCAAAGTGCACAACCCATATAATTAACGTTAACTAAACCACGATAACCACTCGTTCGTAAGCATAATCGCATGCAGGAGAGAAAACAAGGACAGGAGAGAACCCTGAAGATTCGCACACGCACTTCCAAGCGGATGACCTGCATTCACAGTACTTTACAGACAAACTGTCACTGTCAAACAATTTCATATCCCTTCCTTCAACCGACCGAAACGACTTATCAAACGTCCAAGTAGCAAAACCGGAACAAGACAGGAGTCTCATTGCTTCACTGCCTGCTGAAGCCACTAAACAACACCAGCCAGAAAATTAAGAACAAGATACGCAAACGAACCGAGACGTTTTATTTCCATCGACAGAAACAAGGCACCCAGTATCTTCATGGATCGGGGCCTCACCACCCAAGCCCATAAGACGAGC